CCTTATCTCTCTTTCTGCTTCTCAGTTGCAGCTGAGCTGCTTTGTGGAGTATCAAGCAGAGCCTGCAAGCCTCTTTGCACTGAGCCAATACACTATGATTAGAGCTGCTTAATACCATGCTCTAAGGTTAATCTAATCTCATGTCTCAATGTGTCTCTTCCCCTTATTCCAAACTGCTCTTTTACCTACTATGTGGTAAAGGAGTGTCACCAAATTCACAAAAAAAGGGATTGCTCCACTGGTACAGTTTTGGAATATCCATATTAATCGGGATTTGAGGTCTGCAGTTAGGCCGCCTGTACCAAAGCTAAGTTTGGACACTGAATCAAGCCAAATAAGGTTTGCATTAAGCATAAGTTTATCTACTGATAGATAAACTCTCTCCCTTACGTCATAACCTTTACGTTTCTTCAACCTCTTCTTGTTCAGTTTCTTGTTGGCATACATCTTCCCTGTCGCCTTCATTTGGCAAGCATGGACCTCACCAAATCCGCCTTTCCCAAGCACTCTGAAATCCATGAACCAATCTTCAGCAACAGGCTGGCTCTCCAGCCATTTAAACTGTACGTAACGCAGAAAGTACATGCTGTCCTTGAAGCCATTGAGTGCTTTAGCTTCCAGTTGGACAAGAAGCTGCTTTTCACTCTCTTTAAACAGATCTCCTCGAATGTTCTTGTAGTCCTCTTTTACCCTGCTCACAGTTTTGTCCCCCAAGAAGTCGCAGAAGTTCTTGGAGGAAGACTCGTAGTATTTGTTGACCATCTTCTGTGCTTTCTTAGCTCTGTCATTTTCCTGGGCAACGTTGTAGTCTTCAACGTCTTTCCACAAATCTACAGAATTCTTGTGAGCAGGTTCGCTTTCAAGGTATTGCTGAAAGAGGCGCTTACCAATCGATTGGCGTACACACATACTGTCGAAGGAAGAATCCACCGTAGTCTTCATATGTTCACATTGTCTGATGTGTGGCAGGTTGAGCTTGGTGCGGTATTTCTTGTCACGCATAGTTGCTGCGGCAGCACTGTCTATACTCCCGCGTGCTGACACATAGGCCGAGTTGGCCACCACAGTCTCCAAACCTCCAATATCCATGTCTAAGAAATTCAATGATAAAGAGAGGAGTTATTCTTCTATTTATTGAGTCTAAATCAATTGCTTATTAGTGATATCTTTTAATTGTCTTTTATTTAGCTTTAGCATTAGCCTTACTGTTTTGAGGTCATGCCTACTTTCAAGGTAGCCTCAGGCTTTATGTCAAGTAGGGATCAACCACAAACTTAAGAGTTACTGACATCCAACAACTGTCTATTGACCTGTCCATGGGGTTAAGAACAAGGCTTGTCTTCACAAATGCTTATCTGCTAAACGAGAAGTAATAATCTCCCTTTTATCTACTCAGAATTCTGTAAAGAAGCTACCCTTAAATGAGTGTGCCAGGTTAAATGCAACAAAAACCTCTGTGGCATGCTGCCATTTACCACAGAAAATCATTTGCACTTACAATGGAAGTTTAAAAAATGT